CCCCAAAACCCCAAAACCCCCATGATAAAGATAGTTATGAATTAGGAATATTATTAGATATAATAAAAATGATAAAAAAATATCTTTGTATTCTACTATTGTCCTTTTACATTTTTGGTGTCAGCTTATCGACATAGGTTGAAGAAAATGCCCAAGCCAAGAAAAAGATTCTTGTATATGGACCTCTAATTGCAAGTCATCCAAGACTCTGGTATCACATATCAAGGGAATTAAAAAGAGATGATAAGTATGAAGTATATTAAATTCTGCCTGCAGATTCACCATATGTCGCCAAAGTAAAGTCAATTGGAGTCATTCCCATATTAAACTAAAATCTATCTCAATCAATTATTGAAGAATTTGAAGAAAGAATGAAAACTAACACTCTAGGAACACATGGTATGCTTAACTACATGCAAGCTTTGACAAAATCATTTTACAGCGAAGAGAATCTTATCCATTAGATATAGTAATTGAAATTTGACATGATTATTTGTGGAGCATTTTTAGAGGCTCAATTTATAGCAAATACACTACAGATACCTCTATACATTAGAATACTAACCGGAAATCCTGACACTATGATGTAAGTTATGTTGAAATAGCACACTTCCCATTCATCATAGCTTCATGCAGCTAGAACTTCAATTTTCGGAATGGAAAAGCACCCTGACTTTCATACTTTCTCTACAAATTTTTTTACAAGATTAAGAAATAGACTTGCTGAGTATATCATTGGTGGAATTGGTCTTTAAGTTATTCATTACTAACTTGAAAAGTAAATACCAGATCACCTGAAATTAAATGCAACTGTCCACAGAGCTCCAGATATGATACTTTACACCGGATATGAGGGTCTTTCACCTCCTCTTCCACTATCATCTAATTCTAGAATAATCCCTCCTATAATTGAGGCTGAAAATGGAGTCTAGGATATTCCATAAGATCTCTAAGATTTTATGAATAAACATGAAAAATTGATTCTTGTCTCATTTGGTTCTGTCTAAAATCCAACAAATGAAACTTTGAGAGAAATATCAAAATTTATGTAAAAAAGCCCTGACTATGGTTTTATATACTCAACTAGAAATAAGAGGTATTTTTAGAGTGAAATATTTGAGACTATTCAAAGTCTTGATAATGTTTATATTGCCAAATGGTTACCTTAGACTTAGATATTGAATAATCCAAAGGTTTAGATATTTTTTACTCATGGCGGATAGCAAAGTTACATTGAATCTATTGAAGCAGGAAAACCTATGATTGTTATTCCAGTATTTGCACCAGACTAGTTCTTTGCATGTGAATATGTATAGATGCAAAAACTTGGTGCATGCATGTATAAACCTGATGTTGATCATTTAGTTGAGATTGTTAGATATGTTGAGCAGAATAATGGCTTTAGAGACAGACTTTTGATCCTAAAGAAAATGATTGAGAAAAAGAAAAATCAAGGCTTGGATATGCTTTACTGGGTTGATTACTTGATGGAAATAGGCACTAGTGAATTTATTACTTCTAAATAATATCAGTGGTTTAATAATCTACAGCTTTATGATGCAGATGTCAATATTGCTATTGATATAATCATAATTGCAATAGCTGCAACAATAATTACTATGCTGGTGAAGATCTATAGACTAGCCACTTGTAAAAAGGATAAAAAAGAATCTAAAAGTATTAAGATTGAATGATAATTAAACACTATTTATCATGATTTAATTAATTTGCTTTTCTATAAAATATTAAAAAATTTATTCAATGGGGTTTTGGGGTTTTGGGGTTTTGGGG